GTATCGCAATTACGTACATGATTCCGAGGACTGTATTATGGCGCCGTTACTTTTAGGGAATCACGTTTTACTCACAGGCAGTCTTTACGTTGCTTGGTTCGTAGTTTTGACATAAATCGCCCCTAGAACCAAAATCGCCCTAATTTGTATATTCCTAGAACTAAAGAAATAAACAAGTTAGAAAACCTTCGTCCGTCAAAAAAAAAAAAAAAAAAAAAAAAAATTTGTTCAAGTTCCCATCAATCATTACCATTCAAACTCGCAACGAATGACAACAAAATCATTTCTAGTCGACCAGTCAATATTTATTTACCTGTGCTTATCTTTATCCTGTATATTTTGGTGAAAATGTCACGAAATCCAACAAGGTAACCACTCCTTAGCAGCGGCCATTTTATTAATGCATGCGCAGACACCTATTCCCGACAATGATGTCATCTTGTCGAGCGCAGATCAACTTTTACCAAATTTTGTGCAGACACGCGCATATGAACTGCGCTTGACAAGATGATATTTGGCAAGGGAATGTAGTTTCATCAACGCAGAGTCCCTGCCTCCATGGCACTCTAATTTAGTCGTCGAGAATGGTCAACCAACGTCGACTAAACGGTCTCGAGTCTCGAAGACATTTTTGTTCTGATACAAAAAGAATTTAGTGTTCTGAAATAACAACAAAATTAAATGAAATTTGGAATTCTACCGACATGCGGATTGGTCAATCACGTTCTCTCATTCGAGGCTTCAACCTTGGAACTTCAACTAATACTAGTAATATCCAGCATTAAAATACAATGAAAAACAAAGTCATTCACTATTGAACCTTTAGTCTGTGCACCCCCCCCCCAAACATCAACTGACTTTCCACCAAAGAACACACAATTTTATACATGTATAAGCAAGGTGATATGTTCATGGATATGTAGTAGACGGAAATGTAAATTCTAAATTGTTCGAGTTATCGACATAGTTACAAAAAAGCTGGAATTGAAACATGTATGAACAAGATAAGGGTGTGCCATGCCGATTTAGTTTATGACGTCCTAAAATGGCAAGTCTCGACCTGCACCCTGTTCATTCATTGCAAGTATTTCAATGAAACAAGGCGGCCGATAGCAACGCCGGCTTAGTTTAGTGTTTATATACAAATCAACGCAGGACCAATTAAAACCAGTCATAACGATTGTTAACCAAACTAGTCAAGTCGGCTCAATTGCACACATGTGAACATGTGCAATAAATTTTTTGTTTGGTTTAATGCTGTATGTTAGAGAGTAGTACTAAATCTTATTACAATAAAACTTGGTACAATAAAACAATGCACAGAACTGATAAATTTTGGGTAAATATCTCGATATTCATTACCTAATTTGCATAATTACCCATATTTTTCATTTCAATAAGACATGGTATACTATACAGTTCTTCATGCCTATTCAAGAACCAAGTCTTCTTCCCTGACATCTAAATTAGGGTAATAAAACAACCAAAATACAGAACATACAGAATTGATTGGTGCATTCTGTTTATTTTGTCAAACTGAGATTCCGAATGGCAGTTTTAAAATTATTTTTAGCACTGTCCGTCCGTCTGTCAATCTGTTCATTACAGTATCTCAAAAGTTCAACATGGACTGATTTCCCCAAACTTGGTACATGGTTGATACTGGATACAAATGGTGTCATATTTGACCCAAAATTAGCATTAAAAAAAAAACACATTTCGTATGTATTGAGTACTATCTCAAAGTTATGCTGGTCGATTCTGTTCCAACAATTATTTTTTGAGATTTATTTTTGAAATTGGCTGACTAGTGGTTATAATTATAAAAGAAAAATAATTGGAATATTTTTGTTTCTAACCAACAGTTTTGGGAAGTTATCTCTGATGAACATGGAATTGACCCCACTGGTACCTACCATGGAGACTCTGATCTTCAGTTAGAAAGAATCAATGTGTACTACAATGAAGCAACTGGTGGCAAATATGTTCCACGTGCAGTCCTGGTGGATTTGGAACCAGGTACCATGGACTCTGTCCGATCTGGTCCTTTCGGCCAGATTTTCAGACCAGACAATTTTGTATTCGGTGAGTTTAACATTTTGGCTATTGATATTTGTTAAGTAATTCTGTGTCTGATGTATCAATTATATGTTTATGCATAGGTGGGGTAGATGGTTTACCAGAGTTTGATCTCGGATTTTAAAAAAAGGGGCCATCAGAATAAAGGGTCATAATATTTTCAGATGTAAATATATATAAAACAGAATGAGGATATTGGTGTGTTTCATGCATTTAGTAGAGACAAATAATAAAAAACATAATAAAACAATGGAATAAACTCGCTACATTTTCAGAACATGCTTGTTTATGTAT